ACTGAACACGTCAATACTTGGAGGGGAAAGAAACAGAACGTCCACTGTCTGCATCTATTGATCCACACTCCTCTCTTTCTCTCACTCCCACATGTCTGCTGATCTTAATTACACTTATTTTTACCAGGCTATTCAGGGCAGCTGCCCTTTTCACAAAATGTACCGCGCATCCAGATCTATACATCAAAACTAATGAGAGAAAAATCGAATATCCAAGACAACAAGCCGGGGCGGAGGCTGCACGTAATGTTCTTTCCCTTTCTTTCTTTCTTTTTTTTTTTTGTATAATAGCAAGAAATAGTTCAAAAGCTCATTGATTATGTGCATTTTTAAGGTTAATTTTGACGATGATGTGTTTTAATAGAGAAAGCAACTTCAGTTCAGATGGCTGCTTTTGTCTCTTTTTCTGTCTTTGTCAAATCTTGTTTCCTCCAGGTTGGTGGATTTTCATAATTATCAGGTTTTTTTTGCCCACTCCTCCACCTCTCACACGTTCACACAAAGGCATAAAAATGACTTATATAACCAGGTTTTATGAAGAGGTGGCCTGTCCATTCTTCAGCGATTGTTCTTGCATGAACAAGGTAAATAGAAAAAAAAAAAAAGGTTCCAGCGCGTGCTGTTTCACAGCTCCTGCCTCCCATCAATCAAACCGTCTGTGTGTCCTTGGCATTTGTGTGAGCGCTCCCACCTTTCTAACCTCTTAAACCTCAGCTGAATCACTAAACAAAGTCCATTAGAGACGGCAGCACAGTAATCTCCTTCCACATACTCCAACAAAGACATATGGTACGCTTCTCCTTTCAAACCAATCTCATACTAAACATACAAACACAAACCAACTCGTTTTTCTTCTCCCTACCACCCCTGAATCCTTCTCCCTTCCTTCCTTCCTGCGGCTAATCTTTAAATGTACGCTGGATGACAGGTGAATATTGAGGAGCTGAGCGATAACGGGGTAACATCTTCACTCCGACGCATTATCATCGCTCCACATCACCAAGAAGAAGCGCCTATTCAATATCATCACCCCTGGCAGGGACAAACACACTGTCTCTGTTTGTGTGTGTGTGTGTGTGTGTCCTTTTGTATTCATGAGCTATACTGTACCTGAACGTGCACCTAATCACACACACATACGCACAAACACACACAATCACATCCAGCGGCTTATCTCCTGGAATAAGAAAAGAAGCTTGTCAGGATGGCACATTGTATGGGTGGGTGTTTGTGCGTGCGTGCGTGCGTGTGTGTGTGTGTGTGTGTGTGTGTGTGTGTGTGTGTGTGTGTGTG